AACTTAACAATACCATAGAAAAAAATATTGAAGACGTTCACACAATGTTCTTTTCGACATATTCAAATACTCATCCAATGTGTCTACGGTGTTCTCGTATGCTAGTTTCCATAATGCAAATGTGTATTTCTACAATGAATTGAAACTTACATACCTTGTTTCAACATATAGATATGCACTTTCCATATCTTCAACAAGACACATGAATAAGTGTCTATTCATCTGAAATCTTCTTCAAAATGTTTGTCACCAAATATTGAATTATCAAAAAAGTAATCTCAGATCAAAAGCTTTTTGGTAGCTTCATGATCTCGCCTCACAAGAGCCCTCGAATTACTACATATGCTTGAACTTTTACTATCTTTAAGAAGCACTTGTGTATTTCGAGGAAGTGCTATCAAATGTTGATTGTTATTATTTTCAGATTCATATGAAGTTTGCTTACATAAGATGTTTGTTGCAAACATAATCATCTCGACTAGAGGACCAATCAATTGAATTGGAGCGAGTTGGAATGAAACCAAAAAAAATACGTGATTTTTTAAGTAGATAAAAATGGTTTGTACATTTTAGAATAGAAAAAATATTAAAATTTACATCCCGTGCTTTTGTGGTGCCGTACCAAGGATCCTGGATACCTCCCTTGACCCGCCTGAGTTCGTGCAAGCTTACAATGTTGGTGGACTGGTGCCGTGCTTGATTCTTACGGTTTCATTAGGTCCACAGACTGGGTAGGAGAAAAGTTTAACGAGGACCAAAAGTTGACCAAAGGATAAAACTGAAAAGCTTATGAGCTTATCCAACAGTCGCTAATGGTGCATATGTTTACTTTCTCCATGAATAATAAATCGCTCTCACCTTCTCCTACTTCTTTCCTCTGCGCCTGCGGTCCGGATATTATCAACCCGCCCCCACCCTCTCCAAAGGCAGCATCTTTGAATCCATTTTCATCAATAAGACATGGCACCTGCTGGTTCTCTACGCTTAATTTATCCCCCAAATCAAGCCTACTGGTCCTGCCCCTTTCCAGGCGCCGACGACTCTTCGAATGCAACGTTCTTCAAGCCACCCCGACCCACGATGTCGATTCAGGTTAGTCCCTTTCTCTTTCCTTTTCACCAACACCTGCCCGGCCTTCAAAATCTTGAATTCCCTTTTCGATTCTGTCTCACAGCAACTTCCCTGTTCGCTCTCTTCCTTGAAATGGGTATAAGCAAAAAAGGAACCGACGCTATTTTGGAGAATCACCCAGCTCTAAGGGTGGCGCCTTTTGAGTCCATTCGCACCCAAATCCATGGTCTTCAAAACCTTGGAATTACTGGTCCTGTGTTATTTAGATTGATTAAAAAAAGACCCGACGTTTTGGTTGCTAAAGAAATCCATTCCTTGGTTTGCTTTCTTTCGCATGATCTTATTAAAGATACGAATATGATTGAGGCTGCCCAGCTTGCACGCCTTCTTACTGCTACAGACCCAAAACTTTTGTCTGGGTTTGAAGCAAAGGTTCGGTTGTTGTTGGATCTCGGGATCCCAACGGAGAGACTTGCTCATGTTCTCAACAATGTGAATTTAACCAAGGCCTTGTGTTTGAAATCCTATGAAGAGATTAAAAGAATGATGAGTTTCTTGAAGGGGTTTGGAGGTGTGGAGTTGATACTCCGTCGTCCAGCCATTCTGAATTTTGATCTGGATTCACAGCTGATCCCGAGAATCGAGTTTTTCTTGAATATGAGCGGGGGAGATGAGGTTGCGACAACTACTGTGTTACTGAAGCTGCCTTTCATTTTAGCGTACACAGTGGACCATTATACTAATCACGTTGACTTCTTCAGATCATTTGCTGGGTTAACCGATGAAGAGATATTTAAAATAATACTTGTGTATCCAAGTTTGTTTAGCGCAAGCCGTGAGAGGAAATTACATCCTAGAATCGAATTCCTTAAGCAATGCGGGTTCAATTCCAATGACATGTATAAACTGTTGATCAAAGCCCCTCTTTTTCTAAGCCTGTCATTTGATGATAACCTTGCATATAAATTAGTCCTTTTGGTGAAGATTGGGTATGAACATAGAACCAAGGAGCTGGGTTTGGCAATGGGATGGGTGTGCAGGACGAGTTGTAAGAATATGCAGGAGGTGATCAGCCTGTTCTTGAATTATGGGCTCACTTGTGAAGAAATTCTTGCAATGGGAAAGAAGCATCCACAGGTATTGCAATACAATCATAAATCAATGAAGCTGAAGCTGGATTACTTGACTCAGGAGATGGGTTATGAAGTCAAGGAGATGTTGGCTTTTCCTGCATTTCTTGGTTATGGGTTTGATGGAAGGATTAAGCACAGGTTTGAAGCCAGTGGCAAAAATTCAGGGGAAGGGATGTCCATTAACAAGCTGTTTAGCATGTCCACTGCAAGGTTCTCTAAGAAGCATGAAAAGAAGTTGCCTGTGTCTGCAACAAAAGCCAGGTGAAGCTTAGATTTTTTTTTTTTTTAATCATCTGCATAGTTTTCTTAATTTTACGTTGGCAAGAGTAGCTTCAACATGCACTTCCGCACTTGTAATAGAGGGTTGCAACTTTTTGTGGTTTAATGGGAATTTAACATCTGAATTATTACTTCTTTTAAGCACCAACATGCCGCATTTTCTCTGATTTATTGTAATGCGTAATGCATTCTTTTCTGTTTTGCCATGTCAAGCTTGCAAATTTTATTTTGAAGCCATGACCACTTTTAGTATTAAAGAGGTGAAAACAAAAAACAGGTTAGAATATGGTTTTCGCCCTATTTTGCCCAAATGAATAAGTAGATCTAATTCTAAATTAAATTTTACATATTTTAATTTACTTTTCTATGATAAGAAAAATAGTTACATGTATACTATTTAGTTATTTAAAGGGTAATTCAATTTATACTTGTATATTAAAAAAAACACTTATATATTCTTTATGTTTAGAGAAAAAATTCTTATATTATTATTTACGTTCAAATAAAAACCAATTTGTATGTTTTTAGAAACAAATGATCGGGTAAAAATATGATATGATATACATTTCACTTATATTTCCTTGTTTGTCTGTTAAAACATGTTGGACCTTGCATATATTTCGATTGCTTTTGCTTGATTGTGTTATGTGCATGAAATTAAGCATTTTTATCCCAATTAATATCAAAGTCATATTAAAAAACATAAATAGGCAAAATAAGAGCAATTCTAAAGAAAATAAAACCATAGTGGGTTTGCTTAATCATGGTTAATTCCATAAAATTAGTTTCCTTATAATTTGTAATAATTCTACATTGGAATCGATTTCCAAATAACGAAAATCATAAAAAGCAACAATATAATGGCTATTGTATAAAACCAACTTGTATTAAAATGGAATCGCACCATGCATACTATAGTCCCCATCAACCAAAGTAAGTTCCAAATAGTAGCTCAAAGACAAATGGAATCCAAAAGTCCAAACACAAACGTACAACAGCTCTAAATTTCTTTGGATAACAAGCCATGAATGAATGGGAAGCTCTCAAGTCTCAAGTCTCAAGTCTACCCACCTATATAAGCCACAAATCTCATTTCTTAGCATGGAAGGCATGGATATTAAGTCCAAACACTCACCACTGGCTTCTATGTCGTCGTCTTCTTATTTCCTTGTGAAATCATATATTTTATTGACTATTCTGCTTCTTACCACTTTACAACTTTCTTTTGCACTCAATCATCCTGGTCGTAATATTCTAACACCCGGCCACTCATTTTTCTTGAACCTACAGAGTACATGTACCATCAAAAGGGATATATTATAACCTATACACACACACACACACACACACATATATATATATATATATATATATATATATATATATATATATATATATATATATATATATATATATATATATATATTCTCGGTTTACACCTGAACGCAAGAGATGCAGCTTCTTTTGTCCTTATGGAACGAATTTTGTCTATAAAATAAAATAATTGGAAAAGAAAAGAGCTACAATCATTTTTGCTATATCTTGTAAGCTTTTATCTTTATGAAAAGATTAAATCATCATTCACGGCTACTTCTCAAGCCTACTTGATTTCAGGTCCAAAAGGTAATCGAAACGTAACAATAAGCAACTCTTAATAATGAAAGCGGCACCAAATCAACCAAAGCATTATTTTTTTAATAACTCCCTTATTTTAGGCAACAATATCAACTATGAACTATTTATTCACTACGGTTTAAACTTGTTTTTGTTTTGTCGTAACAATATAACATGGTCATGGTGTAGAGGATTCAGGATTTACCTAGCTAGACATCAAACTAGATACCGTTGTATTCAATGTTTTAAAACCCAGGTTGACCCGACCGGTTCAACCGGTTGGACCGTGACCCGGGGTAGAAGGCGGGTCAATTGAGACCGTTTTTTTGTAAAAATACGAACCGGTCGGGTTTCCTCTAAACCGCTATTCAACCGCTTATGTCGAACTGGTTAAAACCGGATTGACCCGTTTTAATAGGATTTGGATAGTTGGAAACAAGTAGCGAATGCCAAAACAACGAGCTGTTTGCGGTTTCTTCAATGTTTTTCAATATTTAAACTTTGTGGACATTAAATTATTGGTTTTATATGTTTATGCATTATGCATGAAAGTAAAAATATATAAAAATAGAAAAAAAATCATAAACCGGGTTAACCCGACGGTTCAACCAGTTGACCCGTGAACCGCTCATGATACCGGGTGAACCAAAACTTGTATTCAATATTTTCTCATATAGATGATATGCGAAGATGAATAAATTATAAGCCTCAAAAATCAAACGGAAAAGTGTTACAAGTTGTTAAAAGCGACCTACCAAGTAGAACCACGTGCCAGTCAAAAGCAGCAAGGAGCGAAATCATTGCTGCTTTCCCATTTTCAGCACTCTCTTTATTTAAATGCAAGCCACCACTGGCCATTCGATCCTAAGAATTGTAAACACACACACACATTACAGCAAATTAATGTCTCAAATCCATGCAAAATCGCCCCAACACTGTGCCAAAAAGAAACTTGTAAACATTAGTAGCAATCTTCACAAGAAGCTATTCTTCACCTTCACCTCCTTCTTCTCCACAATCCTCCTACTCATACTCATAGTCTGGTTCATACTCCGTCCCACTAAGCCAGACTTCTCCCTTAAAGAAGCTGATATTTACCAACTTGCTGTCTCGGGAACTCACCTCCTTAACGCCTCCATCCAACTCACCCTTGTCTCCACAAACCCAAACCAGAAAGTAGGCATTTATTATGATGAGATTCAAGTTTACGCTTCCTACAAGGGACAACAGATAACGCTTGATACATCGCTTCAACCTTTTTATCAAGACCATAGGGATGTCAATCTTATATCTGCTATTTTGGTTGCCAACGGGTTACCTGTGGCTCCCTCTTTCAATTATGAATTGGATCGTGATGAGACTGCCGGAAGATTGGTCTTGAACCTCAAGGTAAATGGATTGCTCCGGTGGAAGGTGGGAACTTGGATCTCTGGAAAGTATAGGTTTAATGTCAATTGTGTAGCAATTTTGGTTTTCCGTCCATCTGCACCTTCAGGTCCGTTGACTGCTAAACCACGGGCACAATGTTCAACGACAATTTGACAATATATGAAACCTTATCAACTAAGCTGTCGTTACTCTCTCTCTCACAGAAAAGACCGATTTCATTTATGTTTTTTAAAATAATTTCAAAGTAATCCTTTTGATTTAAAAACTTGCGGAATTTGTTTCCAAAAACAAAATATGATAAGATAATATTTATCAAAGCATTTCATCAAGAGATGCATTTTCATTATATAATCAAAACTCGGGATGTCATGTTCCGATACAGACCATAAAGCATAAACGATAACATTACAGGTCATTCACCAAATATATACATATACAAACTTGTAAACATAACAACATGATGATTCATCCATCTTATGCCCTTGCGCCACTTCCTTTAATACAAATAAAACTGAGTGGGTCAGACTTGAGAGCCTGATGAGCATATAGGGTTTTCAACCCACAATAAATAATTATATTTAATTTCACCAACCAACAATAACCCGATTACCCATTCCCGTTATCCTCACTTTATGTCCCTAAAACAACATCTATCTCAAGGGACCAAATCTAAGATTTTCATCGGGACGGACATTACTGCTAAGGGGTTTCCTCAACAATAGATATCCTAAAGGCAACCATGAGAGGGATAGAATACACCAATGAACACATCGTTCACAATACCTACAGGTTATGAACCTGCTAGCGTTCCACAAGACTGTCTAGAAAGAGTTTGTGGTCGTCATCCATACTCCGCTAGATGACTAGGTCAACAACAACAACATCAAGGCCTCTCATCTGTTTATCACACATCAACAATCTACCCATGTTCTACCCAACATATTAGTAGATAAAAATATATATTTTTATACATAGTTTAAAACCTGTATAGCATGTTCAATCAATACATATTCCACATAACAGATGAGGCACACACACATAACACATATTTCATAGAGAATAAATCGGATCTATGAGATAGAAGAAAGTGAATATACATTTACGCATATAACAACCAAATATACACATAACACGTATTTCGTATAAAATACTTCATAATTATGCGTTAGAAGAAGGTGACTACACACTCACTTGATCAGAAGATGATTGGACAACACTACGACTTGTAGAAGTAGTATTCTTCGGTAGATCTGGAAGATCTTCACAAAAACCGGGCTTCTTGTGAGCAGAGCTTCGGCTCGGGAATTGCACTTCTCGGGATCTTTGGGGCTTCGAAACCAACTTCGGGGCTCGGGAATAATACCGGGGCTTCGGGATACTTCGGACACGCAAAACGATGCAAAACGGGAGAAAGAGAAGAGAATTTGGCCAATGGAGTCGGCTGCCCTCGCAACCCTTTTATAGGAGGCTGAGGCTTTGCAGTACGCTCGGCGTACTGCCTCCGAAATCTTCATTGCTTACGTATCCGAAGAACTCGAGTGCTTCGTTGTACGCTGGGCGTACAACCCTACGCTGGGCGTAACCTGGATAAGTCTGGTGACTCCCCTTCGGATAATGTCGGATTTAATAATTAAATTTAAATTTTAATTATTTAATAAACTTAGAAAATTCATATCTTCTTCACACGAACTCCATTTTCGACGTTCTTTATATCCACGCGTAGGTGATACTACGCTCTACAACTTTCGTTTAGACTCCATCGGCAAATTTTGATTTTTATTTTTATTATTTATTTTTAGTAGGCCGGGACAGGAAAACTTCGTTATAAAATCATAACTTCTTCATCTGACGTCCGTTTTCACATATCTTTTCATCGTTTCACTACAATTAACGAGATCTTCGATTCTCGTTTAGATTGTTTCGGCTAAAAACCGCTCGATCCCAAATCGAGTATTCGGGCTGCATACTGCTAAGTCGAAACTTCAGAAAATCATAACTTCCTCATACGAAGTCAGATTTGGGCGTTCTTTTTATGCACGCTCTCGGTTTAATGAACTCTATGACATTCGTTTAGATCACTAAGGCTAAATATCACTTTAACGTAAATTTCTCTTTTAACGTCGATCAACGTTGTCGGTTCTGTCGCGAAACTTCGATAGGTCATAACTTCTTCGTTATAACTCGGAGTTCGGCATTCTTTATATATTCGGAAACCTCATTTCAACCACTACAACATTATCCATAGATATAGGATTTATTTAACATTTCATTTTTGATGCTTATTTTTATTATTAATTAAATTAAGACACACAATTAAGTACAAAACACATAATACATAAATAACACACTTCTATTATTTCAAAACGGGTTACAAAGGTTAACCTAAACTATTATATCAACATTAATGACAAACCCAGAAACACAGGCGTTACAATATATATATATATATATATATATATATATATATATATATATATATATATATATATATATATATATATATATATTTAGGTTTAAATGTTTTTTGCAACTATTGTGTGCTTAAAATGAGAATTCAAGAAATAATAAAGAATTAAATAAATCATTAAAGGGTATTTTGGACTTTTGGTACTTTTAATTAAGAAAATCATTTAACTGAAATCATTCAATTAAGGAAATAAAGTTAATATATTTAACCTGGTTATGTTTGGGGCCGAACACATTCATCATCGGCATCATCACAATCACCATCGCCGATTCTGCTTCTTCTTCTACAATTGACGTATCCTCTCGTCTCACACCCCCTTATTCCATGTATCTATCTGCACCATCGCCTGCAAGGACCTTCAACAAGATTCGGGCTTTATTCGATCTTATTTCACAGCCGTTATCTTTATCTCTCTCGTTCCAAATTCATGGACCGATCCTAGAATACAGTGATTTATACTCACCAGTCATAGGTATGTAATTATATTTCTCAAATATTATCAGTTCAACAAATCGATTTTATTACCTTTGACCTTTATCACTTAAATTTTGAATTACAAGTTTTAGATTGAAATTGTAAATCATAGGAATTGAAATTTTCTTTTTGTGGATTCGTTTGAACCTGGGTAATTCAGGATGATTAGATTGTATTTTTTATTATTCAAAATTGACAATTTGGTAACGAGAGTTTATTTTTATCATGGATGTTAAAACAAAACAATGAACTTTTTAATTAGCAAATCAAAATAATCAAAGAAATTGTGTTGACGTTTTTATTATATGATGTTAGTGTTCTTTGACTTTTTTGGGATGGTTTGCATATGAATATTTATTAATCGAGCAATCAATTTTTTTTCTTATGTTCATGTTCGGAAAAGTTTGCAAACGATCTTACAGTTGTTGTTTATGTAGTTTTGAATATCGAAGCCTTATTTGGGGAATCGTTACCTGGGGGCTAGAATTTTGTTTGAATTCTTGTCATCAAGTCGAATATAGCTCAGGTATCGCTGAAGAAGATCCCGACCACCAAGAAACTGAATTGGTAAGACTCTCACTAATTTTTTTTTTGAAGAAACTGAAGGAGCACACCACGCGTTCGATAAAATGCATAGTTGAAATCTAGGTTTTTTTAAGCATCTTGATGTCGATCATTATGCTAGAATAGAATATTGAATTCTAATTTTGCCAGAATAGAATCTTGAATTCCTTGTCAACTTAAGCAGTGAATTACCGTAACAAATTCTATTAGAATAAAATTGGTGTATATTCTTGTTATTGGTCTCGATTCTTATGGAATAACATCCTAAATAATAAAAATTACATTCTTTCAGAATAATATACATTGTAAGTTTAGGGATGATTGTTAATGTTGGTTTGTAGAAATTATAGTTATATTTTATTTGAATATATATCACATTCTTGATCAATTGATTTGAGGATTACATTATATTAGAACAAATTATAATTCTTTAATGTCTACTATATTTTATCAGAATTTATTGTTTTTATTCTCTTAGAATGCACCGGATTTTTTAATATTTGAAAATTAATTATTGTTTTCTTTGTGGATTTAGGTCTTGAAAAGGTAACCATTGATGTGGAAAAGGAAAAAAAACATAGAGAACGAGAGTATATTCTAACAGAATAATATAACAGAATCTACTTTGCCGGAATATGTATGAATTAGTTTTTGTTGCATTTGTGATAAAAATGATCGAAAGAATGGCTAGAAGACCTGATAAAAATGACTTGAAGAATGAACCAAAGATTGATGACACTCACGGTTTAAACATGTTTTTTTTTTTTTTTTTTTTTTTTTTTTAAGAATTACACTTGTATTTTATTCATTACCTGTATATTCAAGAATGCTGATTTTTTATGATATTCTTTTAGAATATGTATACATATATTAAAATGTATAAGACTATTAGTATGTAAGAATATGTATGGATATTTAAGTTCGAATGTATATGAAAATATTAAAATGTTGTTATTCTTCAACTAGGAGTTCAAGAATTCTGCTACTCTTCATTAATATTCTAATAGAATAAAACTCTTAAAGAACATCATTCAAACAAAAATTCATTCTGACGGAATAAAATCGGTTATGTTTAGAAATTATGTTTAGAATTAATTTAAAATATTCAGATTTTTAAAATGAGGAGTGTTAATGATCCCTTAAAATCCAAAAATTTCCTTTTTTAAAACAGGTTAATTGGCCAAAATACCATTTTGTTGAAATTTGTGTGATTATATGGTACATGCTATCCTATTGTAATATTATAGACCCTCAGATCATGATCATTGATTCTATTCATCCGGTGGTCCAGATCTGTGCATTCTGACACACAATAGTTAGTAAAAACAGAATATCCTAAGCATATATATATATATATATATATATATATATATATATATATATATACACACACACATACACACACACACACTTAATATTAAGTAAAAAACCATCAAAAGCGTATATATATATATATATATATATATATATATATATATATATATATATATACACACACACACACTTAATATTACGTAAAAAACCATCAAAAGCGACAAAATTTTAACAAAATTCAGGCAAATAACTATACCATATTTCTTATATCATCTATTAGAGCTTATGTTAGACTTTGTATATATTTTTTATGGAGTTCTATAAGTTTAATTTT